TATAGTACCTGCAATATGGCTATATCTAGACTCATAGGAGGCAAGCCTCATTAAAATTTGTAATTGAAAAGTTACATTATATAGTTAGTGACTCTTTTAGAAAAAAACTTAAAGCCTACCCTTAATAAAGTTTCGTAACTTTTTTTTTTTTTTTCCTGAGACAGAGTCTCGCTCTGTTGCCCAGGCTGGAGTACAGTGGCTCAGTCACAGTTCACTGCAGTCTCCTCCCCCAAGGGTTCAAGTGATTCTCCTGCCTCAGTCTCCTGAGTAGCTGGGATTACAGGCACCTGCCACCATGCCCAGTTATTTTGTATTTTTGGTAGAGATGGGGTTTCATCATGTTGGCCAGGCTGGTCTCGAACTCCTGACCTAAAGTGATCTGCCCACCTCGGCCTCCCAAAGTGCTGGGTTTATAGGAGTGAGCCATTGTGCCCGGCTTCACAAGTGATTTTAAATAAATGATTAAACTCTATCAGAGCTTAATCTGATAAATAAAATCATAAATTTCATTAAATTCAGGAAAGAACATACATTCAAGAATTTAAAGACTATTTTAGACAAAAATATATGAGGTACTCAAGCATATGACAGATTAAGGGTGCTTAGATTTTGGGTCTGTGTGCATGGTACACAAAATTGTCTTTAAAGTTTCATTACTGACCTAAGTGTTATTTGATTTTAACCTACCTTTACATATTAACAATAATTATTAACTGTCTCATCTTTTGCAAACCATGTAAGCTTATTGTCAATTTTTAGGAAGATTTTAATAGATTACAGAATATGTTATAGCAATGTATTATTTACTCACTAATGTTTAATGGTTAAAAGTTACAGAATGTCGAAATGCTCTCTTAATTATCATAGTCAGCTTCCCTTCAACAGTTTTCAAGTAATTAGCAATAACTCTTAAGTTTTATTCCCACACATACAAAATATACATCAGAATTCCCGAATTACTAAATTATAAACAGATGTAAGTATAAATGACATAAACAAGGTAAACACATATAATACACACAATTGACCAGCTTTTCCAATTCTTATTTCTGATGCTGTAGATAGATGCAAGAAAGGACGATTTGATCTTTTCTGCTTGTTTCTAAATTTTGGTTACCTTTCAAAAACATCTGTTTTGGATGCAGAAAGACTCAAATCGGCAATATGTACTATATACCCCAACTGATACCATCAGTAACTTACAGCAGAATCAAATTGTGACTCCCTTCTCCAACCTCTCCCTTCAATATAATCACTAACATTTTAAGTGACCTTATGAACTGCCAAATCTTAAAACACATTGGACACCATTAAGGAAATAGTCAACTAGGTTTTATACAATTATACAATTGAGTTAATTTGACTGTATTCTACTATTCTGAACACTCATCATCTGTATATTTATATTAAGTAAATTTAACAAATATTTGAAGATCACTGACTGGGCTATACAGTCAATATAAAGATATAAAGTACAAATACGGCAAGCCAATTTGAAAACTCAGTTATTCAGGACATTGGTGTAGAATTTAAGAATCACTAACACTAGCCTAGTTAGTTTATGCTGTGCAATATAATAAATGCTAATATTTAAGTGTTACTATATTTCATGCACTTTCCTAAGTGTTTTATTCTGTCATTTAATCCTCACAAGATCTCTATCCGCAAGTTGGTAATGTTATCTCTTATTAAAACAAGAGAAACTTCAAGTTTCCAAGGTTAAATAACTTGCCAATGATTTACAGCTAGAGAGGGAGAGAAAAGGAGGAAGGGAGGGAAGAACACGGAGTGAAGGAAAAAGATATCTCAATAAGATCTGACCCAAATGATTTTTTTAAAGTGACTTTTTTTCTCACTGCACACTATATGCCTTTATATAACGGGTTAGGTTTCCCTTTTCTGGGCAAATCAAAATACCTCATGAACACCAAACTGTTCTATAATCATGTTTCCTTTAGGTCGATCACCAAGTTATAAGCACCTTGAAGCCAGGACTCTGTCTTATTCATGTATTATGTCCCCAAGCGCCTATCAAGTAGTCTAAAAGCTTTTAAAAATTCCATATCACATTAGATCTTTTCTGTGACCTTTTAAACATCCATCTTAAGATAAAGCCTTGCTGAAAATGGAAAGAGGCAAAGAATCCCAGAGTCAAATGGGACCTCACAAAGGTCCAACAGTCTATTTTCTTATTCATCACTACCACATCCATGCTAATTTTCTCTACGTCAACCCAAAAAATTGTGAGAAGAAAAAGTGAAATAAATCTGATCGTCTATGAATTGATTATTGCCATCATAAAGAAACTTAGAATTTCATAATTAAATGAGGTTTATCAAGTCAGATGATGCAGTCCCCTTAACACTTAAACCTTAGAATTTCTTAGGTTTAAAAACAAAAAACTGGCAATCTAACAATCTGTAAAATTCTCATTTTAAAAGTTCAATTCTCCAAATAAGACAATGCACACCCCAAAACAGCCAGCCAGCAAATCTAATACAAATATTTTATAACTTTCAGAATATCACATCCACCAGTTTTGAGGAATATTTTTATTAACACGACACAGTTTAGTTAAGGCCACGCTGCATATCAAACATATCAACATATCAAAAAATAACAGCAAAAAGAAAAACCTGTATGTGATAAAACAAGTAAAGCATTCTCAACAGATCATCAGCTATAGTCATCTTTTTAAACCTTAAAATTAATCTTTTCAACTCTAAAACTGGCTCCACGCAAATACCAATCACATACTAAACCTTGTAAGTAGTACTATGAATGTCATTATAACTCTATTAACTAACAGTAATTAAGTCAACAATTTGTTAAATTAACAGCTTACTTGAAAATTTTGCTTCCATACTATTAAGCTTCCATAAATCATAACAATTGTGCCTATTCAAAGACTGAATTCTAAAATAAAGATTGATGGAAAAAACTCTTCAGAAGGGTTCACAAATCAGGGTGTTACAACACTATAAGCCAAAAAAGGAAGCTCTTTAAATGAGTAGCACACAGGAATACAAAACTGGTGTCTACCTCTACAACAAGAAGAGTTGACTCTAAAGACTATACCTACTCTAAAACACAGTCCATTTGCCTACGCTGCTTAAGTTTTTTAGGCTATAAAATAAAATAGCAAATCCTTCCAATACCACATTATTAAGGAGATTTTCAAAAACTGTGTTCTTCTTCCATGTCAAAACCAAGATGTTCCTTCGAAAGTAATCAACAATTCATTTTCACAACCACTAAGAAATTACAATGTAAATAATTTCTGTATCACCTATTCACATTACCCGGCTTCAGTCTTCCACAGAGCTTTGCCTAACTAGATCCGCCCCTCTGGAGGTATAAATATTCTCTCAGTCCTTAACATAAACGAAGTCAGGATAGTAAACTGGTAAGGTCCCCTCCAACTATCCTCTCACTCGATTGTAAGCAACATCCCCAATTCTCCTTCATGGAATAGAACAGCACACAAATTCAACCTAGACTCTGGCATCAATTTAAAAAGATATAGCATTACGAACTTTGTCTTGGAACCAAGTATCTGGGGATATAGAAACAGGGTACAATTAATAACATTTCATTTATCACGCTATACTCTGTGTAAATCAGAAACTTTCATTACAGTGCTGGAAACATAGTGGTAAACTGGTAGTGGAAATTGTCAGCTCAGAAAAAGCACTCAATCCCATCATGCAAACTCTGCCACCCTCAAAACCAACTACCCTGACTCACCTATCGTGTAATAGGATTCCCCTTCTTCTAAATCACACTATCCAAGAAATTTGCACAAATCTCTCCTTTTAATACTGGTAAAACTTCAGTTTAAGGTTTCATGAAATACTGAAAGCCAATCTTTGAGCAAGCTTAAGTTCTGCCCCTCCACTTTTCTTACCAAGTTAAGAGCCCTCAAATAAATAACGTCTCGCAATGTTTTCACACTATGCCTTCCACCAAAGACTTCTCGCAGTGTTTTAATACTATTCCTCCCACCAAAGACTGGTGTCCTTATTTTCCGTAATCACTGTCTCTCATTATTACTTAACGTCCATTTCCCTTGCATGAAAAGCAGACTTTTTTTTTTTTTTTCAGCACGATCCTTAATATATTAGTAGGCTTCTAGTCTGCCATACCTGGGAACAAAACTCACAGAGACTGGCTCCCAAATATGACAGGAAAACAGTAACATAACACGAGGAAAGAGATGGAAAACTGGCGTGTGACTATTTTGGTTAGAACGGCCGGGCACAGTCCATAAAACCAGGTATTTAACACGTAAATCTTGTTCCTGGGGTGGCGGGGGAGGTTGCTAAAATAAGCACGGATAGTGTGAGAGACGTCCCACAAGCTGGAAGGCAGGGACCAGGTTCAATCTAAAGAGATCCAGAAGCTGCCAGGGCAGAGGCGGGGACCGCGAGACGGAAGAGCCCTGGCTGTGGGGATGCTGCGGCTGGGTGGGCTAAGACGGGGCTTCCTCCAGGGTGGAAGGCCTAGAGAAGTGGACCCGGAGGCTTCATTCCGTCGGGCTCCGGTCCCTAGGGTTTCTGGGCTCACAGCTCAAGTTTCACCCGGGAAAAAAAAAAAAAAAAAAAAAAAGTAGCCAACATGCATCCCGGCACCTTAACCCACGAGTCTGCGCTCTCCGCTTCCCGGGCAATGAGCGACGAAGTAACGGTCCCCGGAGCTCACCCGGAGCTCGGCGCTCTGAGCACCGTCGCCAGCCCTCGGCCATCCGAGCCGCGAGCCTCGACCTGCGCGGCCGCGGGGGAGGGGAGCCGGCCGCCGGCGCAGCCCTCGCCGGCCCGGCCCTTCCAGGGCCTCGCCCCGGGCGCGGCGAAAAGTTTCCAGCCAAAGTCCTCAGCACTCGCTCGCGCAGCCAACCGCCAAACACAACGGCCTCGCCGCCCGGGAGAGCGGCTGGGCAGAGCCGGCCGCGGCGCCCGCACCCTCAGCGGCGTCTCCCACGCCGGCCGCCGAGATTCACCTACCACAGAGCCGGGAGAAGAGCAGCAGCGGGAAGAGCAGCAGCAGCAGCAGCGGAGGCGGCGTTGGGGGCTGCGGCAGCAGCCCGGCTCCGAGGAGAGAAGCGGAGGAAAGTTGTGTTTTGCCGCCTCCAGGACACAGCAAGGCCGGCCGCGGGGTCCGCGCCATCCCCCACCCTCCCCCCGGCCCGCTGGCCCCCTCGTCCCCCCGCTCCCCCGGCCCCGGCGCCTCCGGCTCTGGGCGGCGGCTGTGGAAGGTCCGGCGCGCGCGTCCCCAGCTCCCAGCTCCAGCGCCGTCGCTGCCGGCTGACACTCAGCCGAGCGCTGGCGGCTGCCTCGACACCGCCGTCGCCGACGCCACTGCCGAGGCTGAGGCGGGAGCCGCCCGCCGCCGCCGCCGCCACTCCCCTCCCCCCGGCAACAGCCCGCCTCGAACTCCTGGGAACTCGGAACGCACCACCCCGCCCCACGCGGGAGGGGGGGAAAGTAGCCGACCCTCAGAGCGAGCTCCCGACTCGCCCGCCCTCCGCGCACAACTTCAGCTCCCGTCTGATCCCCGGGCGCAAGCCCTGTCTCCTCCCACCCCGCCCTCCTACACATGCTCCTCCCCTTTCATTAAAAAAAAAATAATAATAAGCAACTCTTTTCATCCCCTTTGATAACGGGGTTTCTCCCAAAGCAGAGCTTTAAAAGGGGTAGGAAAATCTGGAATAGGTTAGTCGGCCCCGCCCCTCGTTCCTGCCTGGTTTCCCCCCTTCCCTGCCTTTCCAATGGTCTCGCCCACTCCGCCCCTCTTGGGTCCACCGAGGCCCCAGCGCCGACTGAGGCGAGGGCTGCGGGACAATCACGCTACGCGCTCGCCTCTCCCCGGCGGCGCTCTCCCTCTGGCGGGGACCCGAGACGGCGAGGGGTGGGAGGGGAAGGCAGGAGGGGGCTGCTCTTCCGTTGCCCAAGCTAATGGTTCCTGCGTAGGAAGCTGGACGCAGCCTGTTGGGCTAGTAGTCTTCCTCCTCGCTGGGGCGCGGGGGACTGAAGGGATAGACTTTCTCCTCCTTCCTGCTGCCGGGACAGCTGTGCTCTCCGAATCCCTCCCTCCGTCCCAGCCCGCTTCCCCGCTCGCCGCGGCACGTTTGCTCCGGCGTTTTTCCTGCCCTTTTCTCTGGCGGGGCGGCTTGGTGGAAGGGTCGGCGGAGCTGGGCGAGGAGGGGGGTCTCGGAAGGTTTTTTTATTCCTCGCTCTTGCTTCTCACTGGCCGCTGGGCCGTCCACTTTCTGCGCCGGGCGGCAGGCAACAGGAGGCCGTGGCTTTCCCCCCACGAGTGCGTTGGTGTTTCTCGTTGGTTTTGTTTCGGTTGCATGTTCGTATGTGTAGTTTTATTTTCTTGCCTGTTTTCCTTTGAACTGGTCGCAGAGACGCGACCTCGGGAAGTGTTCAACATTTGCCCGTAAGAGGAGCGTCTGCGGTCCCCCGGGACCCTCGCTCACCCCAGGTGGCCGCCCGCCCTGCGCTCTCCATCCTCCCGCCTCTCACCGTGCCGGCGGTTGACCTTGGAGCCACTGCCACCTCGGCGCTGTGGGGGGAGTCGGAGGGTGGACAATCTGGACTGTCCGGCGTAGGGGGCGGATTGAAGGCGGAGGACACCAGTCCGCAGGCCTGACACCGTTAATTTTATGCAGGTCCTGTCATCCCCAGCAGATAGCCATAAGCGTGTTCCAATAACGGAAAGCCCAACAAGGATCAGCCGCCCAGGAATTAGCCTGTCGAAGCTAAACTAATGCTTGCTTGCGGCCGAGACCACGCTGTCCTCGGCTTTCAGTCACTAGGGTCTTCCCACCTTCCGCCCGCTGGATTACAAGGCTTTACTCACCTCCAAGGCTACAAGCCGTTCTGTACCCTGCCCAACTCTTCTTTCTCAACTTCTGCCTCCCATCCAGTCTCCCAGCTCTCGGTCTGCCTTTTTCCCTCCATCCCTTTCCTCTTCCTCCCTCCCTGTGCTTGTCTGCCTCTGTCGTTCCCTGTAAGCTTGTGTCCTGCAGCCAAGGCTTTCTATCACCTATCCTCAAGATGGACTTATGAATAAACCTTGTCCTGCATCGCTCCGGGAGATCCCCTGATGAGGATCATAATTGACAAAATGTAGCTATTGTGACATTCCTCGGCTGTGCTGACACCACCTTTTCCCTTGAGAAAATTTCTTTTCCTGTATTCGCATTCCCTAAACCTAATTTCACTGCTAAATTTAGACAGCCCACTGCGCAGCCACTAGCTAATTATCTGTTTAGATAGCACTTTAACACGTTGTTGAGATTCAGTTAAATGTTAACCAAAATTTTAATATCACTAGCCAATTGCATTCCCCCAGGTTTTCCCTGATGGTTCCAAATCTCCAAGAAAAATAATTTAGCCAATATTTTCAAAGATGCCAAAGGCTTAACTCGGGTGGGGCCGTTAGGCAATTGCTACAGAGACCATAAGGAATTAGCAGGTTTAGTTCTCAAAAATATAATATGGAGCTTTAACAAATAAATTTCCTCCGTATTTATAGAAATTGAATAGTGGCCTGCTATGATCTTCTCTGACCTAAAGTGAAGACAGAGCATGGAAGAGAAGTATTTATAGATCTTATATAAACATTAAAAGAGCACCATGCTGGTGTTTTATGTGCATATATGTATTATGTTCTAACAATAATAATTTGTGTTTATACAGCATCTTCAACTAAAGATGTCAAAGCACAAGCTCACTTCCCACGGAAGGTAGCAGTCTATTATCTCTACTTGACAGCTGCAAGAACCCAGGCACAGAGTTTAAGTGCTCTGCTAATACTACCAGCCCTATGTGGTGGTTATCCTGCCAGAACCAAGTTCTTGCCTTCCAGTGGACACCATTGACCTCTCAAGATTATTCTTTAAGTTAAAAAGAATAAATTTACTAAGGTAACTCAAATTTCTACTTTCTATAGTAAAAGTATCCAATCTTAAATAACATTCTCCTCAGATGAATGCATTTTAGACATACCCACCCCAAGCTTTCCTGTTGGAAATTTTTACTGGCTACAGAAAGAGATTTTACATTACATATACAACTCATTTTTTTTCAAGGGCAGAAATACCAATAATTTTTTATAAACCTTTAACATGAGATTATTAGTGGGTTCTATGCCATTACAGATAAGTTCACATTTATTGTTTGAGTAACAGTTTAAGGAATGCATAATTATAACTAACATTAATAATTCTGACACCACTGAATAACAAAGTATGCATGTATTTTTTCAGAAAAAAATTATCTGAACAGAAAGCAACATAATCCTAATGCCAACAATGGTTTCATTGTTTTGGATTAAGAGTACTGATGGTGTCCATCCTACTTTCGGCTCAAAGCTTGTTTGCCAATTATCAAGGTTCATTAACTCTTAACTAAAAAACAAAGGTTGACATCTTAACAAAGAAGTAATTATGTACAGTGCTAGGCCTTTTACATTTACTCAAATAATCCAAGTAAAAGGTTTGAGACTATTATTAGAATTTCATAGCTGACTCTGAAACAAAGGAAGTATTTTATAGAAGAGGTAAGACATTATATACTTCAGTTAATTCTCCTTAACATCAGCAATTTTTTTACAACCTGCTGTGTGAGGAAACATAGCTTTTCCTATAGTAGAAGAGGTGAACAATATTTTGTGGAACATTTGAACTTGATACTATATTTGATAATAACCTTAGGTCACCCGGTTAGGATCACAGTTTTTGTAAAGAGAATTATGCAAATAATAAAAAAACGAACTGCAAAACCACAGAAAAGCCCATCCACTTACAAAATGTTCACCAACCTCATTCTTATTAAATGAAATTCTTTCTTACTGAAGAGATCTTCCCTATATATTCATATGCCTTTCTTCCTCCTATTTCCTTTGGGTCTTTGCTAAAATTTAACTTTATCCTTGAGGCTCTCCAACACCGCCTATGAAAAAGCTGCCCCCCACCCTAATCCCTATGCCCTTAACTTGCTTTATTTCTCCATTGCCCTTACCATCTGACATGTCTCTATTTATTGTCTGTTCCCTCCCGCTAGAAGGGAAGTTCCACAAGGGCAAGCAAATAACTTTATTTTCACTGCTAAAACTCAAGTAGGCCAGGCACTGTACCTCCTGCCTATAATCCCAGCACTTTGAGAGGCTGAGGCTGGCAGATTGCCTGAGTCCAGGAGTTTGAGACCAGCCTGGGCAACAAGGCTGTATTAGTCTGTTCTCATGCTGCTAATAAAGACAAACCCAAGATTGGGTAATTTATAAAGGAAAGAGGTTTAATTGACTCATAGTTCCAAATGGCTGGGGTGGCCTCACAATCATGCAGAAGGCAAGGAGGAGCAAAGTCACATTTTACATGGTGGCAGGCAAGAGAGCAAGTCCAGGGGAAATTCCCTTTATAAAACCATCAGATCTCATGAGGCTTACCACTATCATGAGAACAGCAAGGGAAAGACCTGCCCCTATGATTCAATTACCTACCACTGGGTCTCTCCCACAATATGTGGGAATTGTGGGAGCTATAATTCAAGATGAAATTTGGGTGGGTACACAGCCAAACCACATCAATAGCAAAACCTCCTCTCTACTAAAAATACAAACAAACAAACAAACAAACAAACAAAAATTAGCCAGGTGTGGTGGCATGCTTCTATAGTCCCAGCTACTCCAGAGGCTGAAGTGGGAGAATCACCTGATCCTGGGAGGCTGAGGTGGCAGTGAGCCAAGATCACATCCCTGTACTCTAGACAGCTGGAGAAAGACCCTGTCCCCCCAAAAAACAAAAATGAAAAAACAAAAATCCCAAGTACCTAGAATAATGTCAGCCATGTAGGTTCCAAATTGGATGATTAAATGATTATTGCAAAATAGCATACTTAAGTACATGTGTCATTCATTAGAGGTTTATACTTCTTTAAGGTCTTGAACATAGGATAGACCATATTTTTTTTTTAAGCTGGAAGGTGGTTACTCTGATCATTGCTTAACACTCTTGTTATAATGGTTATTGGTGCTGTTTATTAAACTATTATCTCTCCACTATGTATTCATAGTTCTGCCCTGGTTTTGTAATGCTGGTGCTAGTACTCTATGCAAACTATGTGTCTCCTTTACCAACTGGCTTCCTGACAGGTTCTATCAATAGAGGTCACTGGAGAAAATGTGGACCCCTGGAGTAGTACAAAAAGGGACTTGTTCCTTTCCATTTGCTTCTTGCTATCAGCGTCACCTCAGCAGTAATAACCTGTCCCACTGTCTTTAACAGTAGATTCCAGCCTCCCACTTCTTTTATACTCTAAATCCCAGAGTCCTTATGAGTCCTCAAAAGTACGAGCCCCAGCTAGGCTGTTTCTACTTGTCAGAGGTCCAGGCCCAAGGAGGATGGCTCCTTTAAACTTCTGAATTCT